TGAGGAAAAAAATGAACTTAAATGATTTTAGCATATGGCTGCAATATAACAAAGAGTGGAAAATTTAAGGGGGTCTGAATACCTTCTGTACCCACTGTATATAATACCAATATAACATAGTTATACAGCATTTAGTGTGTGTATTGCTCCTCTGGGCCACCACGGTTAAGCCCCTGGTGGGAGAGCCGGCTGGGTAGGAGCTGGCCTATATCAGACGCTGGATATCTATTTGGCTTCTGTCTGTTTATGGGGGTTCTTAACTGATACTGTATTACTATGTTTTTATTGCTCTAGCACTTTGTGCTCTTGAGCTGGAAAGTGCGGTACAAATAAAGATTATTATTATTATTATTATTATTTATCAAAGCATATGGCTGCAATATAACAAAGAGTGGAAAATTTAAGGGGGTCTGAATACCTTCTGTACCCACTGTATATAATACCAATATAACATAGTTATACAGCATTTAGTGTGTGTATTGCTCCTCTGGGCCACCACGGTTAAGCCCCTGGTGGGAGAGCCGGCTGGGTAGGAGTTGGCCCATATCAGACGCTGGATATCTATTTGGCTTCTGTCTGTTTATGAGGGTTCTTAACTGATACTGTATTACTATGTTTTTATTGCTCTAGCACTTTGTGCTCTTGAGCTGGAAAGTGCGGTACAAATAAAGATTATTATTATTATTATTATTATTATTTATCAAAAATAGAGATTACAGCATGCTTTAAAAGAACAAAAGAAAAAAGAAATACATACATTATACATGCATAAGCACATCAATACATAAATGCAGACCAAAGAGAAAATGTAATTTTGACATAAGCATTGCATTAACTGCTAACACAACATCAAAGTCAGATGAGACACTCAGGCTCACTCCTAGTTTTTCACTGGGCAGGTAGCCAGTCTCACAGTTTTAAGGTACTACACAGTATTTTAAACTGATGTCTCCTAAAGAGGACTGAAGACTGCTGCTCTCAGCCATGGGTTTAGTCAGTCATGGATCTGTGGACTAGACTGTGTAATGAAACAAGCCACAAAAACATTTATTCCTGATATATCTGCTCATGTTTTTTCCATTTGACTCTGAAGTCGGATGCCCAGCTTGTTGGAGTACCTGAGCTACAACTGTAACTTCATGGGCATCCTGGCAGGGCCCACCTGCTCTTACAACGACTATATGGCCTTCATAGAAGGGACCTGCTACCAGCCGCGCCACCAGGAGCATACAAACGGCAAGGAGAACGGCAAATACAAGCAGAGTGAACCCTCACCCAAGGTAAACCCTCAGAGTACTTGAAAGTATCATGATTAGGTATGAGTTTAAAAAATGGGACTATAAACTGTGCATTTCCCTTTAAAGTACATATATGGGTAATGAAACGGCCCAGAGTGGAGCAGTTTTTAAGGGGCCCAGTGTAATTGTAATGCCTTTGGTTCCCTTTAGAGAAACAGAAACTGAGACATTGTTTTGAAATTAATGACACACACCTCAAGGTTATGTTCTTACTGCATAAGAATAATTTAAATACACTAAGATTTGAGCCTGTTTTTATCTCATAAGAGAATAAAACACATATGTCGTTAAATTAGAACAAAACTCAAGGACTGGAATTAACCTCACATAAACACAAGACTTTTGAAGTGCAAGTAATTTTACAGGACTGCTTATTTGTATCCCACTTTTTCTTCCCACCTCAACCCAGAATGAAGTCATCTCCAAGTTATGCACATGTGCCATCTCGCTGGCCGTCTATCTGTCACTGTACAAGCTGCTCCCAGTAGAGCGCGCCATAGATGATGACTTTGTCAACTCCACACCCTTCCATCTGCAGGTTGTCTACCTTTACCTGGCCATGCTGGCACTGAGGCCAAAGTACTACTTTGTATGGACACTTGGTAGGTTTGACCTGAGTTTATCTATTGACTATGTGCACAATTATTTCCACTCATATTTGTTTTGATGTTTTATAAATTAAAAATAGAAGCATGCCATGAATGTTAGTGATAACTGTTTAACAGCTATCAAAAGAGACTGGCAGCGTGACACAACACACAGTCAGTGAATTTAAGAGATGGTTATTTTTAGTGGTCTGTGTGTAGCCTAAAAAAAGTCCATACTCTTAACAGCATTTTCTGAGGCAACAGTGCCATCTAGTGCTAAATTGAAGACTGCTGCTTTTCACTCTAACCACAGACAAATAAATATGATGCTGTATCTCCATCTGTTTATGTCATTGCTTTATAAACTAAAGTATTCTAAGGATGTGATGCTGTCATTGCATTGAATATTTGTCCCTTTCTCCTGCAGCTGATGCTATCAACAATGCAGCTGGATTTGGCTTCAATGGATACAACAAAGATGGCTCCCCACGGTGGGACCTGATCTCAAATCTCCGAATTCTGAACATTGAGGTAAGCGTCTTTTTATGAGATATGTTCAATCCAGATGAAGGACTTTTTCAGCTAAAGCCTAAAAATATATTGTTTTATTTCAATTTCAGCTTGCCACCAGTTTTAAGGTGTTCCTAGACAACTGGAATATCCAAACAGCTCTTTGGCTCAAAAGGTAAAAGCATTCAGGATGTGATATTGATGTGAAAGCTGGAATGAAACCTTTAGTTTGATTCTACTTGAAGTGTATTGACCAAACGCTGCATGTGTGCCATTTGTGTCCTCCTTTCCCCAGGATATGCTATGAGCGCTGTCCCATCAACCCCACTGCTGCCACCTTCATGTTGTCAGCCATGTGGCACGGGGTATACCCTGGCTACTACCTGACCTTTGCCTCCGGGGCTGCCATGACCATGGCTGCACGTGCAGTGAGTACACACAGTTACCATACCAAAAAACCCATACAAATCATAATTCTGGAGTGGTATATTGTGCTCTTGCAGCTTATAAATAATATTTGGGCAGAACCCGTCATTTTATATCATGAAAATTGCCGTTCTTGTATCCCACTGCCTGACTCTTAGAGCTTTTTAGAGTTACCACAGCTACTTAGCAAACCAACAAACACACAGTGGAATCCCTGGAGTGTAAGGAGATAATGATGAAGTAGTACACCACTTATACTTTATTTCAAGTCTGAAGCTAAGAACACTAACTTCTGCTAAGCCAGACCTCTTGATTGAATGCAAGTTTAAGTTTACAGCTTCATTTTGTTGTTTTCATCTCTTCCAGATCAGGCACAACATCAGACCTTACTTTATGGTCTCTGACTCGTGTAAGTGCATCTACGATGTCATCACGTGGGCGTGGACTCAGGTTGCCATTAGCTACATAGTGGTGCCTTTTGTTGTACTTGCTGTGGGACCATCACTCAAATTCTACAAGTAAGTGTGTTTGATTGAATTGTGTGTATGATATTATGCAATATTGCTTTGAGCTCTGTTGCTGAAGAGTCTATTAAACAAAGCTTTCAAGCACAAGAGAATACTTTAGCCTCTGCTTTTCTGTGAAGCAATTAGTTGAAGGAGTTGCGCATGCCATTGTTGTGTAAAATAATTGTAATATATAGCTTGTAAATGTTCTGCCACAGTGTAGAAATTAACCTGTTTTCATTAACCTGGCTCCCTCTCATTAGGCTGTAACAGTTAACGAGATAGATTAATGAGCAAAGGCTGGGGAGGACTGATGAGGAGGAAATACAGTGAATAGACTTTACATGGCTCTTCCACTGCCATGAAATAAAGACCCAACAATGGCCAGTGTCATTCAGAAGTGGGCTGCTCTTAAAACAGCATGTGGCTACTAGACAGGCAGTATAAAACAGTCATTAATGGAGTAGGGACATGGCAGAAGAAGGCATTGGAACTATAGTATATGTTATTTGGAAGTATTGTTTAGTTGCTAACACGCATGCTAACATCCTCACAGTGACACTGCTAAAGTGCTGATGTTTAGCAGGTATAATGTTTAAAATGTTTGTCATTGGTTTTCTTCATCTTTAGTTCATCTTAAAATAGTACTATTTGCTAATTAGCATGAAACAAATACCATGGCCATGAGCTAAAGTATTAGACAAACTGAAATTAAAGGATCACCCAAGTTATTAAAATTCACTCTGTGTAATATTATAATTCTCACTTTGCAGATCTTGGTACTTTAGCTTACACATTCTATGTGTGCTGGTAACAATGGCCCTGCCTATGAAATCAAGACGCTGGCAGGCCAAAGAGCTGCAGGACAGCCTACAGAAGGATAAGGACAACCTACAGGACAACCGGATAGAGCACAGCAGCACAGACAACAACTGTAACCAGAAAGACAAAGCCACATGAGGCTCAGGACCACGATGCACAGACCTTTCAGCAGCACAAACACTGATCCAAACTAAAAACCACTGAGAGCTAGAGTGTGGCGAGGCGGTTTACCTAACAAAGAACCAAATATCAGACACTCTGAGAATTTTAACAGACAGAACGCAAAATGTCCTTTCAAAACGTCCAGTAGCAAGAATGACAGCAGTCACACTTCTGATATGGATAAGACACCAGAATGTAACAATGGCCACAGTGTAAAGTAATGAGTGACTGCGGTTACTTTACATGACATTAATGAAAATAAAGACTTCCAAGCTGCCTTAAACCCTCTATGTACTCAGTTTGGATGACGCTCTGCAAGAACCCAAAAGTAATTCCATTGTAGTGGTGTCAGTTTTTACAAGCAGAGTAGAAGTGCAGTATGTGGAGGGTTTTTGTCATTGTCCGGATACAAACCTCTGTTAGGTGGATATAGAAAATGTTTTCATGTATCATCAGCTGCCAATTTCAAACAGGCCTTAGGATTCTCAAAACATTGATTTCTTTTTTTTTTTAAATCTTTATTCAAGACAAATTCATATTGTACTTGTTTTGTGTTTAGATGTTTGTGGAAACACTATTTGAAATTTAATTACCTTTTTTAAATTATGGAATAAATCGACTTTGCTGGATACAGAGTCTCAAAGTGGAATTCAGATTCTGCTCATCTTCAGAACTGCAAAGTTCAAGAAAAAGGATTTCTGTTTGTTTTTATATTCTCCATATTGACTGCTTTTCTTGACAAATGTGACTCATGAGTTAAATGTTTGCGTTAAGGTGAGTTTACTTACCCTGTTGTAATTTAGAATACTTTATAAATGAATTTCTGATTAGGGATTCAGAAGTGTTTTTTTTTTTGTTTGTTTTAATATAATTTAATTGATGCAGGTTCTAAATAATAAATTGCATATCTGGTAAAAGGAAGCACTGCAGAACACTTGTACAGTTTAATTAATTATATTACATTCTACAAATATATCAGAAATCTAACCAGGTTACCATATACACTGAAGGGTTATTTCAATGTCAAGTGGTTGTGTAGCCATAATTATTACAAGCCAGCTGAGTATATATATATAATAAAAGTTTCCAAATAGATGCAGCGTGCACCAAAGCACATATTCAGGCTACAAAGTACATAAATGTTCAGTTTGCATTTGTCTGTGAAGAAATCCATTATGATTGTTTATGAACGAGATATAATACTGTACGAAATTCAGAAACAGACCAGCTGTTGTGGTAAATGGTCTTATTGATTTATTTAATGTTGTGTGCTCTTATGTTAGATTAAGGGTGTCAGGGTACATGTACTGTAAGGTGTAAAAGACACTGGTTTCTCCTGTTGTTTTAGTTTGTGTCTCATCATAGGCCTTTCAAATCATATGGTTTCCTCTCTACAACCACCCCTGGGTTATAGACACGTTTTTAGGGATTTAGTGAAGAACATAAGGAAATGTGGTGCAAAGAAGGCAATGTCACACACACCTCACTCTTACAGTCAACAGTCAAGATACATTGTCACATATGTTAGAGCAGGAAATATTCTTGGGATTTCAAGCCCAAAATAAACACATCGAAGCTGTGGGTTTTTTTTTTCTTCCCTAAAAATTTGTCAGTAATTTGAGTTGGTATGGGGCATTTGTGTTATGTATAGTAATAACAAAGTAGAAGAGGTGAGCTTTGAAGTATAGACCTATTTTAATTTCTTTTAAAGATGTTCTAACATTGCATATTCCTGCCATAACTGTGTGTGTCTACCAGTATTTGTGTCATTCTTAAATGTCAAGGTGGTCTCAATTAAACTATATTTGTAGCCTGAACCCTGAGTAGGCAAATATAGCCCGCCTAAGGCAAAGGGATGTCATTCTACAAACATAGTGATTATTGCAATGCATGGCCACCCAAACCAGCAGATCAATGGAAACTGCTCCATATGTCCAAAGTGCCAAACCATGGATGGCGCATTTTATTTTGTGTGTATGTGAGCATGTGTGCTGCGTGTGTTTGTGTATGTGCGTGCGCGCCTGTGTAACATAATGGTTATTTTTGTGTCAGAAGGAAATTTATTGAAAGATTTGTATAACAGTACATTCAGATGCTAATTTATGTGGCAAAATAAAGAGAAATTATTTTTAAACACTAAAGTGACATTTGAAGATGCACCTTATTATTATTGTTCATTAATGGAAGCAATTATTGATATAATTATTTGAAAACAAATTTGAAAAAGCACAGGTGAACTGTAAACAATAAATTATTGATTTAGCTGGTTCAGTTTTAGGGTCCTGTCATTGTGCATGCTGGCTCACTGTCACACTGTCTTGGCTTGCTGGAGCATTTGAGTAAAACAAAACCGGTGTTAACATCTGTGCTTTTTCTACCATGACAAGTCAACATGTTTGCTAAGGAAAAGGCTTACGTTGCTAATATGTTATGATGAAAATGATTTAAAAAAATGTTTTAATTACTTTACAGTATTTAAAACATGTTATACCCCTACAGTAGGATATTGCTGTGTCATTACACTTCCCCAGTACAGTTAACACTAGGGAAGTGTAACCAAAAAGGAACCACTTAATCTGTAACATTGTCATCTTTTTTGTCTAAAGAAAATAACTAAGGTAAAAAATGTATGGGAGTAAAAAGATGAATATTTCCCTCTGAAATGTAGGATAGTTGTGTAGAAATAAAAGGTGGCAGAAAATGGAAATTGTCAAAGTACAAAGTAGGCTACAGTACTTGAGTAAATGTACTTAGTTACTGCCAAATAGCCTAAATGGAGGGGACAAAAAGACTACAGCATTTCTCTATGGAATGTAGTGGAATATAACTAACTATAAAGTAGCATGGAATGCAAGTGCAAAGTATCTCAGTATAATAAGTGTAGATGATTTGTTTTTCTTTTGCAGTAGGAACATTTAAAATCAAATCAAATTTATTTATATAGCACTTTAAAAACAACACCCAGTCAATTTTAGCACGAAACCCCGATTGCTCACAGCACCCTGTCAAGATTATGAAAGTAGATTCCTGCCATATTGTTTGAAGGCGCTCTAACAACATTTGAGTGCTTTCAAAATATTTGGTGCAGGCAGACTTTTACACAAATCCAAGTGGAGGAATCTGAGAGCACAGAATCAGAAATGAGAGCACTCATGGCCTGGATTATGGTCTCAAATCTGTATTTTACTTACAAAAATCTGTGTGCACTCTCAATTCTTGAGTTGCAAACTGAGTAGTGCTCAAAATGTGGTTAGATTACAATCAAACGTTCAAGTGGGGATCTGCTTCCATATTCAGACAAAACATTATGAACTTGGGGTCATGATCCCCCACCCCGCTCTGTCACATATTACGCCACTGCTACCAGGATAGTAGAAGGCGGAGCTGTTGATTTGACTGTGGCAGCTGCGACAGGTTAACGCAACGCTGTGAGACTTAAGCAAGGACAGTATGACATTTAAAAAGCGGTGTTTTTGAACATATTCCTAGACCGGAATCAATTTACAGACGAGTACAAAGCAGGTCCACCTAGGTAAGAGGAGTTGAAGTTGTGTACTGTACTTTATTTTCCCTTTAAAAGTAAGCTCAGGAAATGTGGTATAGCTAGCTACCCTGAGCTAACATTAGCTTGCCGTTGGGACTTCTGTTAGCTTGTGTTTTGCTGTTGCTTCTTAGTGAGAAACACGGGAGGACTGTTAGTATCATTCCTAAGAGATCAGAGGAGAATATGGTTTAACTTTAATTTACATTTCTTTGTCTGGTCACATTTGAGGTTATGTGACATGTGTGTCTTATCCAGATGTTTACTTTTTTTGACGGTCGGTTAGGGTTAGATCCCAAGACTCGTGAGTAAATTTTGGGGGAAGTTAAGTATTTCCCTGTTTTCCCCTCCCAATAATCTGAACATAACATCCACACTAATCATAATCATTCGCGTCTTATGATGTTTAACCTGACCTCAAACTTACCCTAAGCACAACCAATCACTTTTTACCGTTATGTCAACCAGAAGACAGGCTGTCAGAGCGGCTGTGTGCCATGCGTATGTAGATGCAGGCAGGAAGCATGCAGCATAGACCAACTTGTTGGCACTGTGTGCTAGTTGGCTGTTTGTCAGACCTTCAGCAGTTAGTTTCCAGCATCTGTTCCAGGTAGCATGTTTACTTAACATAACCCTGAGCCCTCTGTAATCAATTAAGCACACAGATATAAACAAACTGATATAAACACCCCCCTGGCCCTTTAGGTTTTCCAGGGAGCATGATAAATCAGCTGGTTTTTTTTATTTTTATTTTTTGGAGCAGACACTGGTGTGTGGCAGGGAACTGAGTCCTCAGCAGTTTCACACCCACATGACAAGCCATAAAGAGCTGACTGGTTAAATTTAGAGATCATGACCTGTGTTGCCTCTTAAGTTCATACTACCAACATCTGTGCATGCATGCTCGGATAACAGCACAGCTGACTAAGGATTTAAATAAATGTATCGGATATCCACTGGTCCATGTTTTTACATAAATCCAAGATTTGAGTAATTCTTTGTATTGATCTAATATTACTGTAGTGATTTGAAACAAGTTTTGGATTTTGGTTGCCTTGATGTGACATAGCATTGTAGCTTAAATTTGTGTATTTCTGTATTACAGTGAAATGACACATTTACAAAGGTGTTCCGGTGTGAAAACAAACAAAAAAAAAAAACGAATTATGGTGGAAAGTTAAGATTTTTTCCATCATTATCTAATAACCTGATGTTTTTTTTAAATACTTGTTCAGGTAGAAATGTTTTTCTAAGACTAATAATTACTGCCACTTTCTTTGATTTATAATCATATCAATTTAATATATTGATAATGTGATAATTAAAAATGCTGACATTTATTTTATTTTTGTCAATATATTTCTGCCCTAGCAAAAAAAGATTTTAAGATTTCTCCAGCAAATAGTAGTGAGTATTTCTGGATCATTTCACTATTTTGGCTTTAACTGATAAACAGTTGTCATTTAAACACATTCAAGTCCCTACAGTGATAATCCGCCTGTGATAGTGCCATATTAATATCATCCAAGTATTGCTTTATTGCACAGCTCATAAAATGAAGCCAGGCAAATGTTATCAGCTGGTGCCGAGCCAGTCTATTGTGTTGGGAAGATGTGGGCGTAGGCCAGCCCCCTCATCTAATATTCAGCTCTTGAGTGAAGGGGGGATGCTGAGTGTGAGCCTGGCAGTGCTTGTTGATACTGTGTGTGAGTGAGCAAGAAATAAAGATTGGTAGTGAATAGTCAAGTATAAGTTTCACCTGCACCAAGGTAAGGGGGCGCTCCTGTTAACCTTTTAAGTGTTTTCTAGATACCATCTTTTAGCATCATTAGTCATTTGTTTTAATGACTTCTACTGTTTTTATTTGTGTCTCAGCTGGTGTTTAATGGGTGTGTGTTTTGTTAAAAGGATGTGTGTGAGCTCCCATCTGATCATTGCTCCATAGAGACTGACTGGTTCTTGTGTGGCGTTGCCAACCACCCATTGTGCTGAGAGACAAGGAGCTGAGGAGGGTGTGTCAACAGGCTCCTATTGCCTTCACTGTAAACAAAGGATTTTTTTTGCCTGTGCATCACACAGTCTGATATGGGAGAACAGTTAGAGGTGGTCCCTGACTGAAGAAAAATTGTCAAAGTTTAAACAAAAAGAAAGAATATGAAGATATTATTGATTGACAGCTTTGAATTTGACTCAATGGACTGGGTTGGGCAGTCCAACAGGCATGTGATGTTAAAGCATTTATTGACCTGACCCTGAGCCTCTTGTCTAGAAGATTATAGTGAAATATTGAGCAGCACATTTAGTAGTCCAAATGTGAAACCCATTGCCAGAGTGCAAGCAATAAATGCAGCTCATTCATTTTATGTTACAAGAGCAGGAAGCAAGTCTGACTTTGATGAAAGAGCCCAACTTGATGAATCATTAATGAGTTTTTCATTGATTGGATGAAGTTCAGCTACAGAAAAAAAGCAGCATTTTTAAAGGGAGTTCTGTTCACAAAATTTCTGGGATGGTTTTTGCTATTTTACATTATTTTTCTGAGGAAATCTTGTTTGAATGTTGAAGGAAATCACTGAAAAAGATATGTAAATTATAAATATGTCTAATTAACTCCAACTTTGCTGCCATGATATTGGTGTTAGTTAAAGATGTTTTGTCCCACTTGCTAGGGTGAAAGAGGTTAAAATAACTGTGTAGTTTTAAAATGGTGCAACCTAATTATAGATGATCTCCCTAAAATGGGCTGCCTGCATTGATTAGTCTAGTCTGCAGTTATCTAACTGCATCTTAATGCTGTTTTCCCATCAGCGCAAAGCAGTTTCAGTGAAATATTGTGCAACTGTGCACCTATTGCTCTTTAAGGCACTTAAAAACAGCAATTTTTTTTATTTACTGTACAAAAGTTACACACTGCCCAATTGACGGCAGCAGAGAAGAGTAGAACTGAAACTGGAGAACACAACCGAGGGCATCAACAGTCCAAGTCGTAATTACTGCAAAGAAAGGAAGTTTAAAGTCTAATGTTAGTCTTCAGAGGTATTTGATGACTTTGTGCGGTTTGTTGAGCAGAGCAGTGTGATCGTTCTGCCTCCATTACAGAGCAGAAACAGTTCATGTTTTCAGCAAAAAAATAAAAAGAACTGGCCTCTGTTTTCTTTTTT